AATCGACAGTCGCACAACTGTTGTGCGACTGTCGATTGTTTCGCAGCCAATTCAACTGTTTAGTTGTAGAACTAATAATCGGGTAGCGAGCGTACCTCCATATAAGCTTATAGGAATCAAAGCGCGACTAAACAGACGATCGATACTTTAGTCAAAGAAGTGCGCGTTCTAAGTATAATTTTTAAAAAGGTCTCAATAAATCGACTATGAAAGTATTTTTTTTTTATTTATCAACTTCTACAAACTTTGTTCCGTACTCTATTTTGCTCAGTTTGTTTTTCTTTTCTTTTCCGTAATCCTTATAACACTAGTGAGTTCCTTTTTTTAATAAATACAATTATACTACTACTTACTTATACTAGCACGACATTTGTTACATGAAAGTAAATTTCTTTTCTTGTTAGTGTATCTGTAGAGAAACATCATTTTTTTTTCTAAACTCCTTGGGTCATCAAGGTTAAGTGCTATGAATATTATTTTGATATTCGAAAAAATAAAATTCTGCCAAGTTAATGGTTAAGATACATGATCTTTAATATTTTACATATAATTTCGAGAAAGGTCTATTTACATTCGTTTTAAACAAGAACGAAAAACATTTGTACATATCCAACGTAATTTATATTTCTTGTGTAAGCGATTCTCTTCAATTACTTCAAGAGACTCTCGCCTCGAATGTCTCGAGGAGTTTTACAAACTTACTTTGAATGTGCTGAAAACGAAATATATAAAAAGGTCTTATTTTCGTATAATACGTTATTTTTAGCATCGACGCGAATTAAATCCTACTAATATTATAAATGCGAATGTATAGATGAATGTTTGTTTATAGCCATATACTATACGGGTCTCAATGAAATTTGGCTTTTATGTAGAAGATCACATAGGTTAATTATTTTATTTTAATTCCAAGCAAACTGAGACGCGAGCGAAAACTAGTTTTAGAAATAAAGCGATAGTATTGTTCAAGTTGAATTTATACATTTCATAGAGAATTAAAAAAAACCCAGTCGGGTTTTATTTACTAATAACACTGGGACAAATATAATTCAAATGACATTATATTCATCAACATCGCTTTTATAATACGAGTTATAACAGTATGCGAAGAAAATAGTCCATGAATAGCGTATTTTATTTATATACAATATATTATGTATTTTATACAATTTCACTTGTAAAAAAAATGTTATTATGCAACTATACTACTCACTACATGTCACTACGACACTAGTATACTCTACACAATATTAAAACACCGCACCCGCGGACAAACCAATCATAATGGTTTTTGCGGGGCCATATTTGAGAATACGTTTAATCTGTGTGTTTGTAAAAAAATTTCAGTGTTTCCAAAGTATTTTTTAATAGAAGTATAGAATGGTACAGATTACATAAAATCATTTAGTTCTTGGTTCTTGCTAACAGAATAGTACAGTAACGTTATGCAATTAGAGCGTATAATACGCGACCGGAATGAAAGTCTGCACAGAGCTAGACGTATGCCAAGTCTGCGGTTCCTTTGAGAATGTGTCGAGCTAAGAGCAAAAACTAAATACCAGATTTAATACCAACCTTAAATAGATACGAGATTTAGTTATGGAATACATACATTTATTTTGGAATTATTTGGTAATTTGTTATCTGTGAAGAAATTCAAAGAGTCGTGTAGTTAACTAACCAAGTATGATAAATCTTAATTTGTAGGTTTTATATGAGACACATACAAGATATATAGCGATGTACATTTTAGAAGTTTCATAATAGAATGTGTTTGCGTCAAATATCACCTCGTATCCAGAATTATTTGTCAAATCCCGTTGAATAGAGTTCGGTAAAATAGCTCATTGTGATCACATCTTAGCTGTATAAAAGGGGAATCTTTGGTACCCTCTCCATTCTTCGAAAGGTCAAATAGGTCGCGACAGATCCAGTCGAAGTTCAATATATACTAGGAATTCTTTTGTAGCAAATACTGAAGTATTCTATTATTCCAAGATTAAAATACTAGAACCTTTTAAGTAAAATTTCAATTTACCATAATACTAACAAAACAAACAAATAATTACAAAAGTTGTCTTTTAAAATTTCATTTTGAACTCAAAAACCTAATGACCACAAAAATGAGTAGTCCTAGTAAGAATACAAAGTTTATTGTCAAAAGTTTGACATCTTTTTAATCCTCATTTCCACTAGGTGACTGGCTGAATGTAGCCTAGTAAGTACTATATCTAATGTCATTGGAACACCAGTGGAAATGGAACCTTTTACTTGGGAGGTCTTAGATATCTTTAACCTTCTTTAGTGAAATGGCAACTGCATAAGCCGCGTTTGCTTCTGTGCCAACTGGACGCTTGTTTTAATAAAGATAAAAACAAGCGCTATTAGCTATTTCAGACTCGAGAACATTCTACAGCTTTTTACTTTGATTGTTCTTAATTGCTAACGTTTTTTTTCTTTACAAAACACTTTATAGAATAGTTTAATAGTTTGTTTTGGAGAATTTACTGTCGTTGTCAGGATTTTTTCAATAAAATCAAGTAAATCACAATACAATGGTTAAAGTTTAAGCTGTGTTTATTACTCGTATATTCCTCAGATTAGTTATTTATTTAATTTCATCTCATTTTCAATACATGCCTTGCTTTTTTATAGTCGCGCATTAGTCGTATTGCTTGTGATGTTAAATCTTTTTGCATCTTTCATATTTTTGTTTTGAAATTCTAAGAAAGGATTCATAGGTTTGAAAAAATATCAGTTTCGTTCGTGTTACTGAAACATATTTTGATCGACATAAAGCGTCATTTTAGCGCTCTTCGTAGATAAGGGAGGGTTTAAGGGGTAGTTTCTGGAATCGTATCTATATAAGGCCAATGAATATCACAATAGGAGAAAGTTTTATTTATAAAATGATATTCAGATTTTTGTAGAAGACAACATTTATTATTGCTT